CAACTGAGGAATGGATAAAAAAGATGTGGTATTTTTATACAATGGAGTACTACTCAGCTATAAAGAATGATCACACTGAGATATTTATAAATAAATGGACGCAGCTTGAAACCATACTCATAAGCAAAATAAATCAAACTCACATGTATAAATACCGAATAGTTTCCCTAGTGTAAGAAATGGTAAGAATACATAAAAGTATACGGTAATCATGATTCCCCATTAGATTGCTTTGAAGCCTTATAATGTTTTCATTCATTAGTTGGAATGTTTTTATTCTGGGTTGTGTAATTTTATTGTCTGTGATGGTATGAACAGCTGTTTTCAAGAAAACAAGACATTATAATAGCTAGTGATGATTTAATATCATCTTGTTTTGAAGTCCCACCAGTTCTTCTATCTCCATCAGTTTTATCATGTTGTATCTTACTAGATTTTATTATATGTGACAGTATAAACAAAATTTTTTATAGACAAGGAGATAATATAGTAACCATTGTTCATTTTCTGTTAGTTGGTTCTGAATATCCTGTAATACTTTCATTCTCTTGAATGGTTTTTTTTTTCTCTTGAATGGTTTTACACTGTCTTGTTATGTTTATATACTATAGTATATAAAGGTATACTCAAACATTTCAAGGAAAGAGACACTATGGTAACTACTGTTATGTGGGGTTGTCTTGTGGTGAAACACTATGTTGCTTAAGTTGTTCTGTTCTGACCTGTGTTGTTATGTCCTCTTTTATCTTAATCTTTTTAAAAAAATTTTTAAAATGTGAAAAAAAAGTTCTGCTGGGGATTTAGCTCAGTGGCATAAGCACCTGCCTGACAAGCCTGAGGTCATGAGTTCCATCCCTGGTATCAATAAAACAAAAAAAGTGGGCCAGTAAAGTTTATGGTGTAAGAATTAAAATGTTAATGAAAAGATTTTTTGGAAGAATCTCTACACCAACCATCCTCCCCAAGAGCAGCCACTGGGGTCTTTCTCAAGTACAGGGCCCACTGCTTAGAACCCCAACGTGGGATAAGATTCAAAGTTCTCACACTGCAACCTACAAGGTCTCGCTGAACCTGCTGCTCCAACATCACCTACTACAGATGTCTCTCCTTCAGGGACCTCCCCAGTGAAGGACCACTCAGGCTTTCAGCCCAGGGGCCCTGTTCAGACTCAGGAACTACCACCTGGACCCACATTCAGACTTCTGACACAGGCCTGCCCAGTGCATGGCTGGAACCCTGCCGACTGTACTGCACAGTGGAGGATGGGGGCTCTATGCGTTACACATTACAGGACTGTGTGTAAGGCTGATGTGATCAAAGCAAAGCCATCACATCGGTGCTCCATCGACCACTCCTTTGTTCTGAATACTGCAATGACACACTCAACACGATTCCTCACTGAGCGACCCGTTCACTGGTCATGGCAGGAACAGACCTTAGTCCTTAAGCAGGGTGTCCGCCCCTGCCCCCTCCCCTCAGCTGCACACTTCTGCCAAGGCTCCCTGTCCTCACTTGCCTGGAAATGTCCCTTGTGCATGTGCAAGGCCGGCAACGCCCTTCATCCCAACCCCCTCCCCAACAATCCTTTCTTTAAAAGCCCTCACCTGCCCGCGCTACCTAAAACAACCTGCCTTCCTGTTTTGTTTTCCTCATAAAAGGTATCGTAATCTAACATACAGTGCACTGGCTCACATGATCATGTGTTCTGTGTCTTACTATACTAGAATGTAAGCTCCACACACATTTAGTTTTATAAAAGCATGTGCAAACTAGTACATTCTCAATACGATCTGTTGATTGAATGACTGAATGAATAAAAGGTAAAAGGAAGGACACAAGGCAAAGGGGCCCTGAGGCAGGAGTGAGGGCACCAGCAGGAGCCGCTCAGCTGGTCCAGGCTGGCGTAGGTGACACAGCAGTAGCCTGGACTCTTCTGTGTGCTGACTAACAGAAGGTGGAGAGCGGCTGTGCTCCAGCGCTCAGGCTGCAAGAAAGGAACAGGACCAACAGCTCTGTGACCTCTGCCCTGCTCCCTGAAGACAAGTGGCTCAGAGATCTGTTCCTACTCCTAACAGCAGTTCAAAAGACAAAGATGCAGACAGCAAAAACTATCAGTCTCCTAATCACATGCCAGAGTTGTGAGGGATAACTCAAGTCATGAAGGGTACAGGACTCAACTTGTACAGGCAAACGGCCACTTCTGAGACAGAACTCTAGGTTAGCATCCTCTTTACCTTCTCCATGATGCTTCTGTAAGAAACCCCAGGTTATCTGAATTCTCGGGGTCACAGATGACAGTGTCAGTCCTCTGTCATGAGGGTGAAGCTATCGCATGACAACATCACTCAACTCACAAGGGCCAGCCCCTGAACTACAGTGGAGCCCCGTACACAAACTTAGTTCTCTCTGCAAATCTCACAAGATCCGAATCAGGGTCATTGTCTCTCTTGTGGGGAAATTTGATTTAGTTCTCTCATTCAATTCAGTTTGCGACCAGAATCGCAGAAGGAATTAAGTTCATGAACTGAAGCATCACAAAGTTGCTAAAAATCTGATTAACACCTAAGCAAGTCTCTGGGAACACCTACTAGTACTCTCCCAACAGTAAGTAAACCAAATAAATGCTAGGAGTTTTTTTCCTGCAGTGCTCTGAAATTTCTTGACGAATCATTTCCTATCACTAAAACCAGCATCTGTCAACCCTATATTCTACAGCAGTTCCAGACCAGGGACTGAGTTAGCAGGGCTGAGTCAGAGCCTAGGATTCAGAATTTCAAATCTTTCCCAAGCAATTCTGACACACAGCCAATTTTTATTAGCTGACCTAATGAGTGTATATGTGTGTGTGTGTGTGTGTGTGTGTGTGTGTATGACATCGTATCTACATATAATTAAGTGGAAAAAAATAATTCAATGCATTTTCCTTGTTGGTTTGTTAAATTGAAAACAGAACTGCAAATAATGTTGTCAGGTTTTAAATGCTAATAATTTAAAATAATCTTGTCGGTTAGAAAACGTGGAATTATTCTGTAATGTGCAATAAGTGCTTCTACATGAGATTATTCTGCAACAGAAAAGGGTTTTTTTCTTCTCTTTATGAGGGTACAGGAAATTGAACTCAGGACCTCACACTTCACAGGCAAGGCACCACTGCACCACTGAGTTATATCTCTGCCCTCCCTTTTTTTGAGACAGGGTCTCACTATACAGTTAAGGCTGGCCTCAAACTCACAGAAGCCTCCGGCTCAGCCTCCTAAGTGCTAGGATTACAGGTGTGTGCCACCACACCGGGTTTAAAAGTTTATTAAAATCTGCAATGACACTTAAAACCAGTAAGCTGAGAACACGAAAACTTCAAGTTAAAATTCTTCTATACCATCCACTTACCAATGAGTTTATTGAAAACTTCTGATTTTCTGATTTCCCACATTTATGGGTAAAATTAATTAAACCAGATTTTAAAATAATGTATATAGGGGCTGGGGATTTAGCTCAGCGGCATAAGCGCCTGCCTTGCAAGCAGGCAGTCCTGAGTTCGATCCCTGGTACCGATAAAAAGGAAAAAGACCAAAAAAAATGTATATATTATTTAAAATGTGGTCTTTGGGGCTGGGGCTATAGAGTATGAGTGCCTGCCTAGCAAGCACAAGGTCCTGAGTTCAATTCCTGTAGAGCCGGGGAAGTAGCCCAAGTGGCACAGCACCTGCCTGCCTGAGTTCAGTTCCTGGTACCCCATAATAAATAAACCAAAAAAAATAAAATGAAATGTGGTCTTTCTTCCATTAGTTTGCTATACACATTATTCTGAAGCAACAAAATAAGACAAAGTTTGTTATATTTATAAATAGGATAATTTTTGGACTAAGAGAATCCTAGAGCTAAAGCCTAAATTTAGAAAAGTGAAGAGTAACTTTTTTTGGTACCAGCAATTGAACTCACAACCTCTCACTTGCCAGGCATGTGCTGTAACAAACTTTTTAATTAATTTTTGGGGCTGGGAATTTAGCTCAGTGGCGTAAGTGCCTGTCTGGCAAGTTCAAGGTCATGAGTTCGATCCCTAGCACCAAAAAAAAAAAAAAACCTCTAAAGGATACAACTGCAAGTGTGTTTAGGTGTGTTAGGATAGATGACCATATTACTGAGTTTTTGTTGGATCATTGAACACAACTGTTTGCAGTCTCACTGTTTGAATGTCCACTTTGCATGCTTTGATCCTGTGACTTGAGCAACTATTTCTAAGATGGCAATGTGTAATCTATTAACTGGTGATTTCTCACTTTTTTTTTTTTTGTAGTTCTGAATTACTTGTACCCTTACACTGTTTTGTTTTGTTTTGATTTTTTTCTTTTTTTCCTTTTAAATAAAAATTTTTTTAAAACTCTGAAAATATAATGAAAACACTGAATGAAAGGCAAAATGAAAATGAATCTAAGCCAGGTATAGTGGCACATGCTTGTGATCCCAGCCTCTGGGAGGCTTAGACAGCAAGAGTTTGAGGCCAGCCTTGCTACAAAGTCAGTTCAAAGCCAGTCTGAATTTCATGGGGAAACCTTGTCTCAAAACAAACAAACAAAATCTCATATCATACACATGAAAATTAAATACTAATCCTCAGAGCCTTTACACACGAAGGCACGATCACGTGCTATGTGTATCATCTCTCCTCTCACAATGACAGTGAGTTACAAAGGTTCAGAGGTACTTTTTTTTTTTTTTTTAAATTCACGTTTCAGAATCCTGTCTAACACTTATCAAATCAAACACCCCTGGGGTGAGGGGGGGGAAGCCCAGACACAGGCTATTACACATTCTGTGAAACGTTACAAGGATGCTATGCTGATCCAATAACATAAGTTATCATCTTTAATTAATAATAAAATTCTTACCTATTAAATGGATCGTTTCTTTATGGCCAGGAATAATACTGCTTTGCCTGACCTTCTGCAAACTCTGAATTCCATTACAACCTGATATTTTTCACAAAGCAACAAATGATTTACCTTGAGCAGAAAACGGTAGGTATTTCATCAGTGCCACTGGTTTCAGCAAACACCTGCAAATTAAAATTAAAAAATGTTTAAAAAGTCAAAAAAAATTTAAAAAAATAAAAAGGTAAGTATGTAAGTATCTATCACTCATCAAACAAATACACTTAAATTAAAATTTGGAAAACAATACAATTATGCTTGTGGTAATGGAAAACAGTGACTTGAGAACACAAAGCAAGTTATACACTGTTCTACGGCTCTGCCTGCCCGCTAACTCACCATTATACACTTCGGATTCCAGGTTCCAGGAGCAACTGGGAACACATAGAAGGCACAACCACATCTCTGGTAAGACTGACGACAAAAATGCTATCAAACCCAACAGGCTTCATGGGACTCTTAAAAGGAATCTATGTGTGAGGTCAATCTGTGGGTCCTGGATTAATGACCCAAGCTCTCAAGCTTCTGTATTAATTTTAATGAAAACACTGTTAATTCTTTACCATCCACCCATATCAATCAACAGTGACGCAGAAGGATCAGTGATTTTCCCCCCTCTCTGCTCTGTGAAGGAAACGTTTTGCTCAGGATCCTGGGTTAGGAAGATTTCTAATTCTTGGGCTCAAAAGAACCAGTGACTCAACTGTTTGTTTAAAGCACCATTTTTCAGCACCTTCTTTGTGTGAGTTCTGCACTAGAAGCTTGAAGGGATAAACACCCAGGTGAGATAAGCTTTCTTGTCATCTGCAAGTTTAAGATGGAACTGGAAAATGAATTCGAAGTATTCAGTGGGGTCTGAGAAATACATTACGTTTTTAAAAAGGTTCAGGGCAGACTGTATCGTTCACTGGGCATCTGACTAGCATGCATGAGACTGTAGATTTGATCCCTTGCACTGCAATATCAGAAATAATAATAATAATTATTATTATAGCTAATGGGCTCATTTGCAAAGCTCAGTTTTAGCTGGAACACCCAGACATCAAAGTAAATATGGTTTTCGTTTTGCTTTTCTGTTTGTCTGTTTCTTTTTTGTTTTGTTTTGTTTTTGATACTGGGGATTGAAGCCAGGGTCTTATCACTGAGCTACACCGCTAACCCCTTTTAATTTTATTTTGGGATTTAGTGATTTTATTAAACATGGAATTTGTAAAGCCTGTGCACTGACCTTGCCTCAGTCTCCCAGGGTGCTGGAATTACAGGGGTGAGACACCGTCCCCGAAGTCGATATGAGTTTTTAATCAAGTTTTAGAAAAATATTATCTGCTTGCACAATGTCAGGAAAGATATTCTAAGAAATAAACATGCATAAATTCAAAAGCAAAAATACCACAGGTGTACCTTGAGACGGCAAGCACATAGGGTTAGCTCAATCTAACATTTCATTTAAGAATTTAAGGGATTTAAAAAAAAAAAAAGAATTTAAGGGGTGGGCTAAGGGTACAGCTCAGCAGCAAGCACCTGCCTGGCAAGTGCAAGGTCTTGAGTTCAAGTCCTGGTAACCCCCCCAAATAAAGAAAGAAAAAAAAAAAGAATCTAAGGGCTAATAAAACAGGAAAGGCAGACTAAGTATTGCCATAGTAGGACTCAAAGGCAGACTCAGGAATTTGGACATCTAAGTCAGAACTGGTTTTTGAAAACAGGTACATTCAAAGAGGACTGTAAGAAAATTCTCGAACAATGGTTCCCTCCTACTCAAAAGGGTTTTTCAAAGGACAAGGAACATAACTGTTATACTAACTACCACTTCCTAGTACTGGTAAATTAGTTAAGACCTGAAATACCCTAATTCAATAAGTCAGTATCTTTTAAAGCAGTCTCATTTGAAAATGGAAAATACACATTTTAATTTTTCTGTTTTAATTTTAAGTGACTTTTATTATAGAAATAAAGCACAGTAATAATGCAGTTATAAATACAAATGAGTATACATAGCCATACTCCCACCACCCATCATTAATACCCATCACTTTTCTAAATATCCTTTTATAAAAGCAGAATCGCACCACACACACCATTCCATTTCTTTCTCTCATTGTCTGTGATGTATCTGGCATCATATGGAATTCCAAACCCGAATTTCTAATAATTGCACTCTTTTTGCATCTTATCAGGGTAAGGTAAAACCCTTACCAGTTGGTGATTTAATAATTTTAAAATTATACACATTACTTTAATATTTTAATCTTAAACATACACTATCTATATATGTTTAAGATTAAAATGGGCTTTTTTTCCCTTCGTTGTTGCTTAAGGCTTTTGTTTTGATTTCTTTGTGGACAGATTACCTAGAATTCCAAATCATGTTTTTCATAAGCCACATCATAATTCACCCTCAATGTTTTAATTTTCATTACTTTAAAGCACAGAGTCTAAACACATTTCCAAGTCTGAGAGCAAATTTATGATTATTAAGATTTTTCCCCCAACTGTTTACATGAAGTTAAAAATGAAAGGCCCCCCCCCCTTTTTTAAGGCCAAAGCATTTATTTTTCTTAAAAATTGCTATTTTTTAAATAGCAGTGTTCACCCTCTTATCTCATTGGTTTTTCGTAACAGGTAAAATTGCATAAACTCACCTGGGACAGGAGCAGAGAGACTGCTGAACTGCCAGAGGCTGTTTGATTTTAAGAATACTGTATTTCTTGCCCATCAAGATCTGAGCCAGATGCTGAGATAAACATTAACAAAAATATCTGTGGCAATGATTTTAGAGTGGTACTCTGTGCCCCTTGAGCTGACTGTGGTGGCAATGTGATAGCGGTGACAGAATCCAAAATCCTCACAGGAAATATTTTTCAATTGCTGGAAAATGGCAAAATCAACTTAATAGAAAATAGGAAAAGAGGGGCTGGGGATTTAGCTCAGCGGCGTAAGCGTCTGCCTTGCAAGCAGGCAGTCGTGAGTTCAATCCCTGGTACTGATAAAAACGAAAAAGACAAAAAAAAAAAAAAAAAAAAGAAAGAAAGAAAGAAAATAGGAAAAGACAACAGAAGAGCACCTGATTTTCTTTAGTTAGACAATTTAAGTTATCTAACTGCAAGCAAACAACTGGGAAGTAATCACATAACAATGTTCAAATGATATACAAAAAGATCCTTCTAATTCAGGGTCAGTTCTTCCATATGACACTATTAAATAATTTTTTCTATTAAACAATTTTCAACTTTTCTTTCTTTTTCTTTTTGTTTAATTATCCATACTCTGCAGGCTTTCTCTCCATCGCACGCATCCAGTACACCTCCACTCAGTCTTAATAATAATGGCCAACGATCACTGAATACTTAATTTGAGCCAAGCATCCTGTCCACAGCCTCATATGTGCACCTCATTTAAACACTCAGCCGTCTGAAGAGGCAAAATAATTCACACTTAGTAAATCAGGAAGCTTGGAAAGCAAAGGTTTTCACCGTTGGGCTTCACATCAACAGCCAGTGTAGCTGGTCAGATCTGAGTTGTTTACGCTTGAGCCTCTTACACCAACACTGCTGTATTTTTAGAAATGCTAATTAACTGCTGAAATATTAGGCAGAAACAAATAATCGGGTACCTAATTATACACAATAAACAACGTCACCTGAAAAAAAAAAAACAGATAAAACTAACGTTTATTTTAACTGCATCATTGCTGCTCTGTCAGGACCTAGAACTAAAGACTACAAATTTATGTAGCATGGAAAAAATAATTTATTTTAGCATGACATCGCAAAAAAGCAATACCTGTTGTTACAATCTAACATACAAACGCGTGCGCGCGCACAATTAAAGATTTCACGAAACAATACCCTCTCTCCGCGTTTTCTGGCATTTTCTATTCTGTCTTCAAATTCACTTTTTAAGAATACTCATCCTTTATTTTCGTCTCCAAACCAGCCGTTGCGAAATCGCTACCTGCAAACCCGTACCTCAAATTCTTCTCAGAGTAAACAATATTTTACAGAAACCAGTTGCTACCCCGAATCCAGCTTTTTTCCAGCCAATCGCGAGCCCACCGCATTGACACGCAATCAGAGCTTCAGCGAGTTTCCTCCAAGCCCCCCTCGGCTCCCAGCGACACAGACAAACTCCGCCGAGGCATTAAGTGAAAAATCGGACAACGAACGCCCACGCCCGTGGGGCACACTCACACTTACACACGCGAGTCCGCGGACGGGGGACACCTGCGAGATTGCGACGCCCCACTCGGCCCCGCACCCCTCCCCAGAGTGCCCGCCGCAGCAGGGAAACGAACACGCGAGTACGCGGCCACGCGGGCTGCCCCGTGCGCATTTGCACAACTGTTGCACGACGGCGGTCAGCGGTCACCGCACTCACGCGCGCACATTCACACATATGCACACGCACACTCGCGTGCCGCCCGGATAAAGTGCAGCCGCCTCTGAACCGGAGCCCGGCCGGGCACGCAGGGCACGCGGGGCACGCGGGGGGCCGGGATCGCCGCCCGCAGGTGCGCGGGGCCACGCTGAGCCCGCGGCCCCCGGGCGTCCGCGCCCTCACCTCCTCCGAGCCGCCGTCCCGCTGCCTACGCTGGGCCGGACTCAGGGTCCCGAGCGCGCAGAGTCCCCGCCGGGGCCCCGCGCCCGCTGCGTCCGCTCCCCGCGCGCCCCGAGTCACGACTGGCTCCGCGGGTCCCCGCGCCGCGCCGCGCCGCAGCCGCTGCAGCTCTGACGTCAGGCAAGGTGCGAACACAGGGGCCTCTGACGCACGGCCAGGCGCCGCCCCCCGCCCACGCCCACGCCCACCCACTCCGCGCGCGCGCCCCGCCCCGCGGCTCTGCACATCAGTCCGCTGGGCGCGCAGCTACTTAGCGCGCGAGACCAGACGCCAGAGTCTGCAGTTGTGAACCAATGAGCTGGGCCTCTGCCCGCTCCCGGCGCGGCGTGAATACGGGGAGGAAAACCAAGGGGAAAGGCTCACCGCGTGCTGGACTCCCTGGTGCCCCGCGACGAGGCGCAGCGCGCCAAGCTGCTTTCGAGTGCGCACTCGCTATGTGCAGGCGCGGCGCGAAGGCAGCCGTGGTCCTGCAGCCCAGGTCAGGGCGCCTCTGTGAGGCGGTCTCTGTGCGCGCTCCCTGACAAAGAGGTGACCCGGGCTTGCGGATGAGCTGTTGCGGAGCCTCCACCGCGCACCAAAGGGTTACAGATATTAACAAACATCCATTCCCCCGAGGACAGCCGCTGCCTACCTGCACGAAAGCGTCAGCGGTTTAAATGTGATGAGGAGGGTGTGCAACCCTGAATCCATGCACTACCCAATGTGTCGTTTAAGTCTGCGATGTGCACAAGCATCGTTGTTCCCCCGGAGAGGGCGGAGGGGGCACGGGCTGCTCTGCTCAAGAGCTGCGTCTGTAGAGCAACCTCATAGCATTCGAGGGAGCTGCGTGGCTCCTGGGCTGCTGCTGCAGCCTTGCTGGGGACTCATCCCTACACGTGTTCACCAGCTCTCTGCCCTGGGCCAGACTCCCGGTCCCTAGATCTCCCTTTTGTAGTACATTATATTTTTAGACTTTTTCATTTTTTGTACCGGGGATCAAACTCACGACCTCACGCTTGCCAGGCAGGCACTTATGCCTGCTGAGCTAAATCCCAGGCCCCCAGATCTCCCTTTTAACACACTAAAAATACTGATGTCTTCTAAGGCAAGCTGTGTCCACATCTGGCAATCAGTGAAAAACACCGCAGGATACCTTAACCCAGCCACCAGGATATATGTACTCACCGAGGCTAAGACACATTTTTCTTTGCCTTGCATGCTAATATAGCCTCTGAAATCTCTCATAAACTCTGAACGATCTCTTAATGTCACTGGCCAGGTGGCAGTGTTGCCTTTGTGTCCAAAACCTTGCACACAGCTGTTTACACTGCGCTGGGTTCCATCAGCAGCGCAGTTTGATAAAACCGCAACAGATGCACAAGGGAAGGAACAGAGATAGGAGGCCCTCAAACTTGAAAGGAGGATTTACTGGCAGAAAGAGATTTCCTTGGCAGGAAGGATTTCCTAGAACCAAAAAGATTCCCCCAGGACCTAGAAATGAGAACAGTGGGATTGGCTAAAAGTAGCTAGACTACTGAGGGTCCCGACTTCTTCACCAAGTACAGTCATTCTTAATGCATTTTGGGAAACCATGTCCAAATAGTTACACTATAAACCTAATCCCCTACACACCAAAAAGGGGGGGGAGTCACTTATTACTACTCATAGTCTGGCTAGACAAGAATGGTGAGGAAGCTTCAGTCGAAAACACCACTGAAGAAAGATGAGTCCAAGACATTACCTGAACTCACAGAGACACCCGGGTAGGTCGAGAAATCATGGGCATCAAAATTCTGGTCGAATATAGCTGCATGGAAGAAAACCCTGACTAGTGGAACACTCTGAACATTCTTTTTCTCCGCACTTCTGGGTGAGGAAAACCATGGCCATCAACAAGTGACTCTGTAAGCGATTCGCAGAAGCAGAGCACTGAATGTGAAGAAGTGTTTGGAATTCCTTAACCAGTTTTATTTACATTTTCCTTTTCATGTGTGCACAGAACCTGAGAGGGCTCCTTTTGAAGCATGACGTAGCACCAACACATTACAAGAAATCACTGTGCAAACCATTTAGTGGCAGAATTGTAACATTATTGTAAGGTAAACACAGGAGGAAGTGGCAGTCTTATCTCACGTCAGAATGTAAGTCCATCCAGACTGGATTTCCATCTAGTGGCAATGGGTGCACTGTAGGAGAGAGCTCAGTTAAAATTCTTAAAATTTAAGTGAGGTGTGGTGCATACCCCAGAGCTGGGAGGCTGGGGCAGGAGGATCGCCATGAGTTTCAGCACGTACAGGACTGCAAGTGCTAAGATCATGACGTTTCTTCCCATGTCAAAGTCTGCGGGACAGAACTTGAAACCCCTGTACCGCCTCCCTGTCCCCCTCTTCATTAGACCTCATCTTTCCCACCTTTACCTGCACGCAGCTTCTTCCACAAACACGTTCATGTGTCCAGCCACTTTCACCAACAGCTCCTACTGTGTTCTACCTCTCCCCCTTTCCCATTCCCTCCTCCAGCCCTTTCCTCCTACCATTCTCTTTTTGTTCCTCCTTCCTTGCCCCCAGAAACACAGTCTGTAGACCTCAAAGACTGTGCTTTTACCTTCCAAGGATAATCCCACCTAAAAATGTTACTAGTCTCAGAAGTGTTCCTTTCTTTTAACTCAAAAGTCATTTAATGCTATATTCCCTAAAACATTGTCTTCAGAAAAAGTCACTACTGTCTTTTCACATGATGAAGTCATCAGTATGAAATGATTTTTAAGATCCCCTCTGAACACCTGGACATGTTCACTGACTAACTTACAATACCAAATTACCCTGCTTTGTGATGTGATCCCAAAAAGCAGAATTTCAGCTTATTCTGCAGCCTCTCCCTTATTCCTTTTGGCACAGTTTCTTTTTTCCCCCAATGCAAAATATTTATCCCAAGTTATTTATTTTATGCAGTAGTTCTCCCTTGTAATACAGACTTGTAATAATGACATCATTTTACATGCATAAATAATCCTATTAAAATAGTCATAATCTTTACAATCTCCCCTGAATATATCAAAGCTACAAGAATGACACGGTTCACGTATCCAAATATTTTATAGCAATATCCCAAAAAGGAAAACAAAGCAAAACAAACCATATGCTCAGTTAAGGGGTACAATTACCCCACCCCCACCACAGCAGACAAAACTAAGACTAAAACTAAACAGTGGAACAACTGCACTGATTGACCGTACTGTAACTTCAGGAGCGGCTTTGTCACTGATGGCGATTGTGGGCACAGGAATGGGCACCGCTCCGGTCTCTGCTGTGTCACTGCCGCCGTGAGCTGCCATATGCTCGGTGTGTGTTTTAGAAATCCTCCCTGCCACATAAACAGTGCCATTAGCAGATAACAGGAAAAGAACACAGCGAAAGCTCAACAAGCCAACAGTCTCTCCTCGAGGTGTGACAAGCTCCTTCCTCCTGCATGGGCAGAACAGGAAAGGCATGAGAACAACCCCTGGACACACAGCGGAGTCTCCTGGGTCAGGAGACACAAGAGTATGCATTTTTGTACCCAGTTCCTGCAATCCTGGCTGCCGTGTCAGTGTCTGAGTCTTCCAACCCTGCAGACAGGAGTTCCTGCAGGAGCCGCCCCGCTTTCCCCAGCCCTTCTCCTCAGCAGCTGTCTTCACATAAGGCTCTGAGCTCATCCTCCAGGAAGGCGGGCTAGGAACACAGTTCTCATCTCTGCTCTACTCCACTCCGATCCCGCGCAAGTACACGCGCACTTGACACACACACATGCACACGTGCAAACGTGCACACGCACGCACTTCTTCCATAGTGCAGAGGGAGAGCATTCTGAAGACAGCCTTTTCCAGCTTCCTTGGAAGCAGGACCACCACAGTCCCTCAAGTCCTCCCACATGCCTGTTCTCTGAGACAGCTCCTTTCTGGTAGCCCTGCATGTCTCCAGGTGCTCATGTTGCCTGCTGGTAGTCAGCCTGGCCAAGCAAGAGGACCTGCTGTCAACCAGGCTGGCCTTGAACTTAAAGCAAATTTCCTGCCTCAGCCTCCCAAGTGCTGGGATTACAAGGAGGCCCCACCACACCCTTAACCCAAGAATCTGGTTTTTGTGCCTGCACCAAGACTGAGGCCACTTCAAAGTGAGTTCAAGGCCAGCCTGAATTGCATAGCAAAATCCTGTCTCAAAAAGACAAAAGAAGAAGGAGAAGGAGAGGAAGAGGCAGAGGGAGACGAAGATGAGGAAGAGGAAGAAGCAAAAGCAGAAGCAGAAAGAGGAGAGGAAGAAGTGGAAGAAAGGGATGAAAGGGAAGAAGAAAAAGAGGACCAGGAAGCAGAAAAGCAGAAGAGGAAGAAGGAGGAGGAGAAAAAAGAGATGGAGAAAGGAGGAGGATGAGCAGCAGGAGGAAGAGGAGGAGAAGGAGGAGGAGGAAAACAGGAAGAGAAGGTGGAGGAGAAGGAGAGTGAGATGGAGAAAGAAGGAGAAGGAAGAGAAGAAAGAGAGAGGAGGAGGAAAAGAGGAGGAGGAAAGGGAGGAGAAGAAGGAGAACAAGAATAAAAAGAACTTTGGCTTTTGGGTTTTTGTTTCTGAAGATTGTTTTTGTTTTGTTTTTTTGACACCAGGGATCAAACTCTTGACCCCCGTACTTGCTAGGAAGGCGTTTATGCCACTGAGCTAAGCCCCCAGCCCTTTTTGGTTTTTTGATACAGGTTCTTGCTATGTAGTTTCAGGGTAGCCTTGACCTTGATCTTGTGGCGTCCTCCTGCGTCAGCCTCCTAAATGCTGTGATTAAAGGCAGGAGCACCACACTCAACTCAAGAACCAGGTTTTCCTAGCTACTCAGCAGTGTGGTTGCTGGCTTATTCCTGTCTGAACTCTGCTGGGGAGGTGCATGAAGCAGAAGCAGCAGTGGGAGCCCCATCTGCAGGGTCACTTGTCGCCTGGGGAGGTCTCCACACTCCAAAGACCAGTCCCAATAGGTCCCCATGGCTGACTCAGTTGCCCAGCCTCCAGACCGGAAACCAGGAAGGTCCTCCTCCTCACACTGCAGCTTCCCTCCGCGTCTTTGACTTGCCTGATCCCGGTAGCCG